CGATCGGCAAAGAACTTGTCGATCGCAAGTACTTGTTCACGAGGCAGTGGCCACTGCTTCATGACACAGTACTTCGAGCCTGGTTTAAGCTCGACTTCGTGTCGAATACCTTTATCCTTCGGTAATTCGCACGGAACAGTTTCAGGGAATACATCCTTGAATTCAACCAAATCTTCATAGAGAGGATTTTCCTTGAGCGATTCCCATGATTGGGACTCATATCGCTCAATTCGTGTCTTTTCATCTAGGACACTCTCGTCCATAGATGAACTACTGAGAACTCTCTCGTTCTCAGTAAACACTGTTGCTGACCTTATGTCGGTTACATACTCGTCTTCAGCGACGAGTATGCAGATCTGCTTGACTTTGCCACTACGCAGATCACGCAAGAACCTTTTATGTTCGAGCGTTGGCAACTGAGTGATCTCCGAAGTTAACTTCGGAGGCGCAATCAGATCAAGTGTATAAGCGCCTACACATGATCCGTTATTGACTATGACATTCAATGTCTCTGTCATTTCCTGGGGACTTATTCCCTCAGGCTTCGAAGGACTTATTCCTTCGTCTTCCCGGGGACTTATTCCCGCGGGTTTCGGGGAACTTATTTCCGCCGTATTTGTAATCTTGGGACTTATTCCCTTTACTTCCTCTAGCTGGGGTTGCGCAACCACAGCGAGATCCTCTACGAAAGACTCTCCAGTCGATCTAGGATTATCGTTTCGCTTAACCTGAGCGATCGATTGTTTCTCTTCTAGATGTTCCCCTCTAGGAATACATCTTTGTCCCAGTCCACCCGACTTATTCGAGTGGTGGACCTTCGGCGCAGCCTGTGTTTCCTCACAGCCGCCGGAACTTTGCTCCGAAGTGTAACCGTTTGGTACACTAAGGTTTTGTGCAGTCGTACTAACGACCGTACCACAAGTGAGGCCATCGCACTCACTCGTAGTACATCCACACGCTTGTGGACGCTCCAAAACGTTCATCAGATGGCCATCTGATGAACAAGCGGCAGGCATCGTTACTGTTCGATGTTGCCAGTTTACTCGTGGTTCGTACCTTCTGAGCCACGGTATTCCAAGGATGACATCAAATTTGTCATCCAAATCCAATACGATAAAGTCATCGTCATATTGGGTATCTTCCAGCGCATAGTAGATCTTCAATATACGCTTCATGACGGTTACGGATGCGCCTGTCGCAAGACGTACCGTCATCCTCGTAGGAGGTGTGTCACATTCACTGAATTTAAAGTGACCATCTTCTAGCGATTGGCGTCGCACAAAATTGTTGGACGCCCCACAATCGACTAGAGCTCGAAGGGACAACTTATTCGTCACTTCGAGTTTCAAGGTAATGAGTGAGATCTCATTACCTAGAGCAGCAACGCACAATGTCTGTGTGTTGGGAGCAACCTTCATCAAGAGGCCTACAAATTCTCTTGACGTTGCTGGATCAGTAGGGTGCTCCGCACCTACTGATCCTGTCCGTTTTTTGACGGTCCATCCCGTTGTTGCGTCTTTGCACCAACTGCGGACCCTCGTCCCTGCCCCTTTCTCATGGGTGGACGGTCACTACGCCCAGTGTCGCGAGACACTGGACGAGGGGCAATACACTCGTAAGCGTAGTGTCCTGTCTTCTGACATCTGTTGCATCTCTGCAACTTCTTGTAGCCTGTAGAGCGAACCTTCTCGCTCTCTACATAACAGAGTTCCATCGGCTCTGGACCTCCGTTGTCATATCGTCTCGGTTGACGATATGATGTCGAGCTGGCGCGAGCCTGTCTCAGACTGAAGTCTTCCTGCTCCGCAATTGAAATGGCTTGTTCTAGTGAATCTAGTTCAAGCCGGAACAGGTGAGTCTTGACGGGACCATCCGCAAGACCCTGCATGAACACCGAAACCAACGTGTGTTCATCCACCGGATTGGAACTTATACAACTCGTGAGATGTCGTATATGTTGAGCGTAAGCGTGCACATCACGCTTACCCTGCTTGAGCTTCAAGAGTTCGGTTCGAGCTCTGAACTCAGCTCTAGGCGGTTCAAACGTTTGTCTGAGCCGCGACTTGAAGACTTCCAACGACCCAAACGCATATGGGTCGTGCAGCTTGAGCCCCAGTGCCCAAGTCTTGGCACGTCCTGCCAGATTTGACTGGGCAAATGCAACTTGCATATCCCCGTCGTCGATGCGACGCGCCCTTATGGCGTCATCCAATTCGACGAACCATCTCAAGAGGGAGTCTTCTTCGATCCCCCTATACTTGGAGATGTCAATCTTCAAGGTTTCGGGTCGACGCGAGTGCATCGACCCACCAGCAGCAGCCTGCTGCTGTCTCAACAGTTCAAACTGTTGAGCACCCTGTTCTCTCAACAACTCTGCTTGTTGAGAACCTTGTTGGTGAAGCAAGGCTACTTTCTCGCGTTCTGCGTCAAGTTCATTTTGAATGAACTTGGCGATAGTAGCATGTTGGGCATCTCTATTGAGAGCCTCTAGCATGACGCTAACAGCATGGATGCCCATGGTCGAACCCATTCGTTCAACCGCATCCCATTCGACATCGCTCAAATGGGAGTAGCCGTCACGCGTAGCGTGAAAGCTTTGGTCATCTTCATCATCCAACATATTCATGTTGGATGTGAACGCGGTCCTTGGACGGACTACAAAGTGCTACCAGGTGTAACGGGGCACCCTGAAGCTTGTACTGGTGACAGTACAAGCTACTTATTCTGATAACAGAATAAGGCGGTGCCTCGTAACTTCACGTACACTCGTACGTGCAGAGGAAGACGGTAAGAAGAAGCGAGTACTCGGTTAGAGTAAAAAGTAGAACTGTATTTATAATAGTTAATGTCTGCAATAAATCACTATTTATCTTCATCTAACTATGTCTAAATACAAATGTGTAAATCAGTTATCTGCTCACCACTCATTGCGTGCGTCTGTCGTGGCGCGTCTTCGTTGGTTGATATAATGGCCTATATCAACCAATTAGGAACTACTTGGAAGTGCTACAGAATATTGTCCTTATGACAATATTCTGAGAATATAACTCTTATAGTTATATTCTATTAACAATTTCTTATAAATTGTTATGTAACGATTCACCCCGTTACACTCTAGATGTGGTGGAACAGATGAGGTGAAAGACGTCTCCCACCCACGCTTCAACAAATTTCTCTTTTTGCTTGACCCACTTTCTATCTAAGTATCGCAAGACAAAAGTAAGATACAGATACTCGGTTTGAAACTTGTCCCATTGTGCTTCCATGACTCCGAAATTTGATGCATAGCAGAGACCGCTCCAATTCGCAAGCATTTCTTCCCATTCACCACCATTGTCAGTGAACTTTACACCTGGCAACAACAATTTTGTCGATGTGCCAGCGAAACAACAATCTCGTCGAATTTGGGGATCTTTGCTACTCAGCGTTTAAGAGAGCAGATTCGTTCTCGCTGACCAGAATTCGCGGAGTTTAGTCTTTTCTTCGACTCTTAAGCACCGTTTAAAGAAAGGTAAGCGCCCATTCGTATTTTTTCTGGTCCCCATCTGCAAAACTGTCGTGCAAATGAGGAGTAATTTGTCAAATGGGGTGACGCCGACACAATTGAGCATAGGCATCTTGAACCTGGTTGTCTTGTACGTGCAGTCGATCAGGATGACGTCACAGAACTCTGCAGCAAGAGCGATGAATTTAGGATTTGCAGGTATCAAGCTGCTTATTTGACTCTTTGCGTTAAAATTGAGCTTAAGAAAAGTGTTTCACCTGCATCGCGTCGAACAGCGCTTGAATCGAAAACGTTCATTCAATCACTATCTTCGTCCCTTTCGTTTGTCATTCTATATGCCCCGGATTACTCTGCAGAAGTCCGGAGACTCCTGTCGGAGAAACGCAATTTTCTCTTTTGGCCGCACACCTTCTCTCTCAAGTCGAATAGTGTAGCAGAGATGCTTAGCGCTCCTTAACAGAGAAAGTCTTGGACTCAAAGAGTCTCTTAGTTATGACAAACTAACAACGACGTACAGTCGTTCAAGCGTACAAGCTCAACAATCCCGGCTCCAAACGGACTACAATTCACAGAATCACACAGTAACTAGTCACTACTAGTTAGACAAGAGCAAACGCCTTCACAAGGCTAACACTCTTATAACACGCTACGCCTTGACTTGGCACTAGCGTCCAACGATTCAAAAGGGGAACTGAACTTTATTTATTCTTTTAGCTACGGTAATAAAACCCTAAAACCTTGCTTGACTGACTTCTACATTACGACCTTGTGACAGAAGTCTGATCCCTTATCCTTACGCGATAAGGTGCAGTATTATCGTAAGTACGTGGTACCAAGACTGTATCACGCAGATCCACCGATCTTTACCTGATGTGGACACACAACATATCTGGTTCAAATAACCGCGTGTAACACCGTCACAAATGGGCCGGCTTTGTTGCTCAATTGTTAGACGTCTAGCGTGAAAATGCATCTCGAGGGTTTTAAACATACCATGGTTGTGCGCTCCTTCATGTCGGATCACCTGCCACAGCCTGTCGACATCGATCTGCCGCGCTATAAGTTTGTACTCGCATTATGTGCGTTTTGTCTCGGTATTTCGCTCGACAGCAACAAACTTGTATGATCCCGCTCGATCACACACACCGTTCATTTTCACTTTTTATAGTCGGACCTAAAGATCAAAAGTGAACAATTAAGCGCGCGCGCTTTCAATCGGCGAGTCATGACCACCTACTCTGCTGACGGATACTTGACTTTGAAGAACCTGTCAGACTCCATTACATATGTTAAGCAGATCCTTTCGGTAGATAGCGTGAATGGCGGACATGACAGTCATTCACGCCGTAACAAAGCAGCACTATCTCGGTCAAAAAAATGCGTTGCTATCGAATTGTAGAGTATCGGCGTTCAATTCAAATTAGACGAAAGAACGTGTTCCGTCATGCAGCAGATCATTCTTAACGAACCGGGCGCGATAAACAGTCCACGGTATTCAGTTGCCACTTGTAGCAACAGCCTCGAGATGAGCAGCAATGTCGTTGAAACGGAATCGATAGGCCATGTCCAATGGTGTCTCGTCATCGTACAGTGCCGCACGTGCCTCGATGTCTGCTCCAGCACGGACAAGCGCTTTTACGAGATCGAAACGGTTCTTCTCCACAGCCTTGTGCAATGGAGTCATCACTGTGCGAGAACACACTGCATTCACCTGGTCTGCACTTGCACTTTCTAGCATCTTTTCCAGACGTTGCACACATTCTTCTTCCGCCATGTCGCCGCTGTTTTCAATAAGCTGGTGCACATCCACCACGTTCGACTTACCATCGTCATTTTCAATCTGCTCAATGTCCACTGCTACCAGTGCCAACTCACGAGCAAAGAACTTCCGGTATCTCTCCAGCATCAGCTGTTCTTCAAACGTATACGCTCGTGCTGGTACGACATCTAAATCTTCCACTCGCATCGATTGGATTGCCAGAGCATAGGTGACGTCATGGCCAACGAAATGCGCAAATTGGCCGCCATCAGGACGAAACAAGCTCGTTTGTGACACCTCATAGCGTTGTCCTTGGAACGTGATGGTTTTCAACTCCTTCCCGAATTCTTCCGTGTAAGACATGACCTTGTTCTTCGTCTTCGTTCCAAACCCCAACGGGCACTTGCCACCCCCCGAACTCGATCCAGAACCCGATGGTAGCAACTGCGTTCTCAGCACATCCCAGTGCCCACCGACATAATAGTCACGAAGCTGTGCCACCACTTGGTAGCGCTTGTAAAAGCGCCCAAACCACTCAATGAGCAGGTCACGCCCGCGTCTCGCCGTCTCCCCATCCCCTTGCAGCGCTTCCAATTGCCACTCGCGATCCAAGTAACTGGCAATGGCCTTTGCATCGTCTGCCGCGTCCAAAACGAGTCCCAATTGAAGGATCAAGTACGTGACCTCATGGTTCACCCAGGAGCTGTAGACGCCCGCGCACGACGCGTCAAAGAACGGGTCTCCACTCACGTTGAACACAGTACCACACAGTGCGACCCATTGGCCGGATGGCTGGAGCTCTCGTAGACTCCGACGCGGTGCAGCAGCCAGAAACCTCGAGGCGGAACTTGGTAGTCGACCAGATCGGCGACGAGTCACTGCTTTGCTGCAGTAATAACCGCCGAGCGCGACCGCCGCGCCCATCACTAGCGTCAGGACCAAACGCTCCGTCATGAAGGTAAAATTCGTTTTGACTTCAACTGGAGGGAGGCTAAGTATGCTTTTTATGACGTACTTTGATGCAGTGTTTATGACACATGAATGTAAACGTGTGACAGCATAGGATATAAAGGCGTTTGGCTTCGTTATGACCACTTGGATAAGCCGAGCGATGTGAGGATGCTTATGTGTACCGCTTGATATATGAGGTACTTGATGACGGGTTTTGGGTACCGCGACCGCTTGCTCCTTTTGCAGTTTTGTACTCAAATTGAATTGGTCGTTTGTCCAGCAGTTCTGTATGTGTTTTAACACTTTAGTGAAGTCGAACGACCTCTCCTTTTTTTCAGTCAGGCATGTGCCACCCCGAAAGGGCGCCAGCGCAATACTGAGTTCTTGAAAGCTCAGCAGCTCTCAGTGATCCATTGCTGATCAACTTTGTACTTGACGGTCCTTCTTTAGGGTGTGGTAACGCATGCCGCCTAGATCAAGCTTTTCTTGTGGAGAGACTGAGAATTGCCTTCTTACGACAAAGTACCGATAGCACCGTACGACGTTGTACAGCGAGGCAATTGGTGTTTTGGTTGCGGGACCAGAATGGAAGAGTCAGACTTGCTGTAGAATAGTCGATGTCGAATGCAGGATTTGCACTTATGGGTGACAAAGTTGTGCGCGCGGAAGCTTAGCGCCCACGATGAACCTTGTGCAATCTCTGCGCGATTGGCATTCAGCATGACGACGCTAAGAACTTCCTCTATCTCACGTCTATGCGAAGACGTTGCTATAAGCAACACCATTGTCATGATACCCAATAAGTTACTACGATTGGTATTAAACTACCTGATCTTAAGGCGAAAAAGAGCGTGGCCAATGAACAAACCGATGCGACAGCCGATGACTCGATGATGGCGTATCGAGCTCCAGGTTCCCATTAACTCTTGATAAATTGTCCCGACTACACCACGATGCGTAAATGAGGCACACAAGCTAGAAAGGTTTTCCAACATGGAGTTTGAACCCAAAAGGTCATTTCAATTACAATATCGTCGGTACTGACTGACCCGGTGTGACTTCAATCGAATCTGCAAGTTAGCTAATGCTACAGAAAACAAGTGCTGCCGTATGCACCTGTACGATGTATGAAGAAATGAGTTTACGGGTCAGTGTTTGCGTCTCAAAACGCAGTGCGACTTCGAATCCGCCAAAGCATTACCTATCCACGTCGAGATCTACATAGCGATTACTAGCATGAGACGCGCAATAAAAGCTTGGAAACGATGGCCGTGGTGGAGGCAGTCTTGCTGCACAAAGATCTTGCTGCATGAAGGGTAACGAAACCAGAACAGCGACAAATGCGCCACACCCTTCCGCCCATGCTTTACTTCTGCGACTGAGAGGCACATTCGCAGCTTGGGAGCGATTATCAATCATTCGAGGTGCGTGTTTACCAACTCAGGGGGCTGGATGTCGACCAACACACGTTGCTACTGGGACTCCAGCAACTAGGTTTTGATACAGCGCAAGCCATGACTGGATCACCTGGTAAGAACAGGGGCATAAATCATCGATTAGGCAAGGAGTGCACGTGTGTCAGGACTTGTCGTCTTACCTCGTGCATGCGGAAACAGTTGCAAATACTCCGTCCAGGCTTGATCGGATCCGCGACGTACGGGATGACAACCGAGCACTGCAAAGGTGCCACTTTTTCTGGCGGAAGTAGAAAAAATTCTCTGCATGCAACGCCGAAACAACACGTCATGATTACCTGCACGTGTACTCGTAAAACCCACAGTTGTTGACGAACCCTTTGTCGTCAATGGAGATGCCGAATCGACGATAGTCAAACGTGGTGTACGTTTCCAAAAAAAGCAAGAGGAGGCTGCTTATACCAGTACGCCAAGTAACACGTCCACCACGCGAAAATGTGAAGCACCATTTCGGATGTACAACTGGATCGCCTAGACTCGATATGTAAGCAGACTCTTCTGACATGTCGTGTGCCGGTGCGCTTTCCGAGTTGCTTCTTCTTCTATTTCCGCCCCGGATGTTGCGGCTACTGGAACCCACAAATGACTTATGGTGGACATCGCCACATGCCTATGAAATAAACATCAGTCAGCTTGTGCAGCAAGGCCAATGGCTCTGCCGAGATTCGCCAAAATCTACCTGCAAAAAGCGAACTACCAAGATCACCAATACATATGAAGAGATGCCTCCAGTAAAGGCACAATTCAAGTCTAACATTACAAACAGTTGAAGACACGGGTCAGTTATAGACAAGCACCATTCCGCAATGTAGCACCAACCGTTGCTGACGAGGTGGCTTTTCAGAACTAACACGAGGGGACGTAACGCTGGCATCTCTGCTTGAAGGGAATAAATAAGGTCACGCGCATTCAGACCGGTGTGACCAACAGAATGACCACAGGTTAGGTCCAACTGCACATCGGGCTGTGTCGGGTCAAGCGAATTCGTCATTTTGAGAACGGGAATTTTGGCACTTTCGAGAAGCTTGAGTTTTTTCGACCACGGCTGCCGTTCGACATCGGCTGCCAAAGTCTCTAGGATCATAAGAGCCTTCTCTTCCACCAGAGAGCTCGAAAGTAGTACGCAATCGATGTCACTTACTGGTAATGCTAAGCGGGTATAGCTTGACCCGTAAACATCAATGAGAGCATCGGGCCACAGCGAGCGCACCAGGTTCTGTAATGAATTAATGACCTGCTGTTGATGTGGCTCGATCAGTGACAGCACTCTGTCGATGTAATCAACGAAACCTTCGATTTGCCTGCTGATGTTGCTAGTTCACAAGGTTACAAGTTAGGTATTGCACGACTATACCAACATTTACAGCTGTCATACCTGTAAAATTGTTCCTCGAAAAAGTACCGGGTGTACGATGGAATTCTTGGATGCATCAGTTGCGTTGCTCTTGCAGGGTATCGACGATTTACCTGATCGTGCCGATGCGTTTCGTGCTGAGCACGTTCTGCCCCCGCGGTATCAGCGCTACCAACTTCACCAGATAAGTAGTTTGGATTGCGATGATACGCCCTCGTATCGCCGTCTGCAGGGTCTGTCACTCCATCACTTGGTGCACACTTACGCGGACGCAAAATTTTCTTGCGTCGCAGACGCTGCCGTGCAAGTGACATGTCTGCAGATTCTGATTCAGGTGTCGCTTTCCCTTGCCTTTTTGAAACGCTGCTCTCGTCGCCACACCCGTTTCCTCCGGTACTTTTGTGCGGTGCCGAGGCGTGGTGCTTGCTTTCAGGTTGCTGTGCCTTGCTTTGATTAGGAACAGCTTCCTTCAAAGGCAAGCGTCGATACGCAGGGGCACCACTAAACTGGTTATCGCAAGACTCAAAATGATTTGCAAACGAAGCTGCTCGCTCGCGTTGGGGTGAAGGCACACGGAATGGGGTGGGGTCGATTTCAGGCACCCTGTACAAGGCAAAGCGACAGCATCAATGTTGACTGTCCTTTGCAAGTACTACTTGCCATGAGCTAGCAGATGGTGAAAGATGGCCAATACTGGCGTAATGAACCATCGTGAAGGTGCAAAATAGAACCCACAGACAACTCACCAACTAGGGTTCATCGAATCCAGCACCTGCCGTTGCAAATAGTTTTGATGCGCACTTTGAGGCATAGCGTAGGCAGTCGACCACGCCGGATCATCATAACCAGCAAAGCTACAGAGAAAACAACAACCACATAGCACATTCCATAAGCACTCGTCTATCCGTCGTAAGAAAAAGACAAGAAGAACGATCGGCATGCCTACTCGTAATAGACTGGATAGATTGCCCGAAGATCATGTGAGAAGCGACACTTGTTCCCGTACGAACAGCCATAGCCCGACATAAACTTTGTACAGAGAGCAGGTGATTGTCGCGGTTTCTTTGGTTTGCTACTGGTACTGTAGTTGTGACGATGGCTGCCTCCAGAAGGACGAGCTGGAGGTTGCACAAAAGGCACCTGGTGGTGGGTTGCAGCTGGTGGACTCGGCGGCTTGGCACTTGCATGGAGCGGCTGGAAGGAGTGCTGTGACATCTTTGCCAACTGGGACCGTTTCTCAGTCTGAACGGGGGTGCCGGTTGTTGGTGTGGTAGCCACTTGGTTACGATGCATGCTTCAAAATCTGTCAAAGGCAAGAAGAACAACCGAGTCGTTCTCTGCTTGTCGCGTCAGTTGGTCAAGTGCCACTGACGGTGGGAAAAGCGAGAGCAAGCGAGAGCGCCTTTTCTCCCGCTTCCCTCACTTGCTGCTGTCTCGTCCTTCTTCTTCTTCTTGTTCTTGTTTCGCGTTCAAAAGTTCAAATGCCTGCAACGTAGCGCACGCCTTTTCTCGGTCGCTCTTGTGAGAAGCTCCTGCCGTACTGTCGTGATCTCGACACGTTCTTTTCGACTGTTGACTAGGAGACGTCCCACCTCGTGGGTCTCCCGCTTTAGCAGATTCAGTAGTAAGATGGACGAGAAAAAGGACGCCGCATCCGTAGAGGCCGGAGCGTTGGGGACCTCACCTCGACACAACGTAAAGAATACACGGCGGTTAATGTTGATGTTTGGCTGGTTTACAGATAACCTCAATGTACCCGTCCAAACAGGTTACGTCCAAGGGATACGCGCCCTTGTCACTCGTGGCTTGAGCCATCGCGGGGCGAGGGGGGGTTACATGTTACCTGCACGGTACTCTTCGAGCGTCTCGAGCGTACCCGTTTCAAGGAACTCGTCAATTTTCGCCGCGGACGACTTGCCCACTCCTTTGAGTTTCAGAGCCTCTTTTCCACACGTGAGCACCGAGTCACAGTCGCGAATGGCTTTGGCCACCTTTGACCACGTGCCGCCCTTGAACCGCTCGCCCCGCTTGAACTCAAAGCCTGAAAGCTCGGCAAACGCATCCGCCAGCTTTTGATTGGCTTGGCATGTGGCCTCTGCCTTGCGTGGCTTCTTGGCCGATTTTTTCTCGACGACTTCGTCCTCTTCCGCCTCGTCTTCCACGTCCTCACTTTTGCGCTTTTTGCCCCGCGTCGCTGTCGTTTCCTCTGATTGAACGCTTTCGCCACGCTTCTTCTTCTTCTTCGGTGACTTCGTCTCTTCGGTGGGAGACAAAGGCTCCTTGAGACCAAACTTTTTGATCATCTCCTGCGTGAGTCATCCCAGTGAATGTGAGCAATAATAACACGAAGGAGAGTCGGGCGACAGTTTTTAACGCCCACCTGCAGAGCCGCGTCCAAGCAAAACTCGCCCTAAATAGCCCAAATAACACGTCAGAGCAATATTGACCAATCAAACAAAAACTTGTGCTGCTACTGCTACTTCAGGTGCGTCACCTTTTCACGCGTGGCATTCAGCATGGTACCAGCTTCGACGGCGGCATTCACGGGATTCTATAGGGCAGCGGTTATGGTGTCAGGTTACACGCAGGTCACGAACAGTGTAACCACGACAAGATAATGGATCACAGATACAGACGCACGGTCGGGACTTTTACGCCCTGCTCTGCACAGCGAGCGAGCAGCTCTTTTGCTGCCTTCCGGTTCTCCTCGCGACTTGGCATGGTGTCGACTTCTTGATTCGAAAGATTGCGCCATTTATCAGAGCGTTTACTTTCTGTGGCTCTCAGACTGATAGAAAAAAAAAGAGCGCTCTTTTTTATGTAGTTAAGTGACATGCCGTAATGAAGTGAATGCGACAGCGGGGTTTGATGGGTAGATGGTTATTCCTGGTACATTAATTGAACAGTAAAAGGTCCCGCTAGCTGTTAACTTGTACAACAACAATCCTCTGTTTGCATTGAAAGTGGTTAAATAGTGCGGCAGTTCTCATGCCCAAGAGTCATTTACTGAAAAGCCGTTTGAGCAGTGGAACGACCTAGATATGAATACACCCGCAATAATATACATCGCAAGCGCATCTATATCGGCACGTCGGAAGTAAAGCATCGCAGTGTGTCAGACCCGACGCCAACTTCTCTGTCCCAGGTTTGCAGTTGCCAAATGTCACTATAACGCATGCACATCTAACGCTGTAATTCCACTCGTCTTACTTGATGCAACTGAGGATCTATCTCTTACACAACAAGTTTGTACCGGGATCTGTTGGCACTACCAAAGCCCGTGACACTTACCTTCTGTCCTCCGCAATCCAATGGCAATAGCGACGAAAGCAGCGAGTTTCAATGTAGTAGTGCCAGCTCTCTGTCATCATCAACTGCTCCAGATATCTCGGGTCCAAATGAGATCGAGCTTCGTCAGGATGCTCACCAAGCATCGGCCACGGTATCAGCAGCACGGCATCGTTGTCCCGAAGAATCAATACATGACGAGTACGAGTACGAGGTGGTATGGACATCGGCCCGACTTGGACTGAAACTCGACATGCCACCCGATCGTGACCAAAAGTCGGCAAAGAAGAACAAGGTTGGTGACGTGTCTACCCGACGCCGATACCCGATCGTCCACAACGTTCTCAAGGAGTCCACACTTGGACTGCCAAGTGACGCTGTTGGACACCAGTTCGTGTCGATCAATAACTGGCGCACCTTCGGGTTGAAAGCAGAAGAACTGCGAACGCTCCTCGGGGCTGCATCGAAACCCGCTGTGCTTCGCTTCCGTAGACCAGACGCCAGGCTTGGTTTCCAGCCAACAGCTCTACCGACTTCTTTGTACACGACCGCTACTGACGATGGATCCATGGACTGCACAGAAGCGACACTTGGGTCGGCGTACAGCATCCTCTGGAGCGAAGGGAAGCTTGGCATCGTTTTCGGCTGCTACGAAGAGGCGGCGAGCCACAACCCGCTCGTGGTCTACGTGAAAAGTATCGGGCCAGGACAAGCGCAGAAGTCCAAACTCGTCCGCGTCGGCGACATTCTCCACAGCATCGACGGTCGAGACCTCCCACCGACGCACAACTTCAAAAAGGCGATGCGTGCGCTGATCACCTCCAGCTCCTCACGGCCTGTCACGCTCGGATTTCGCCGGATGCCATGGAGTGCCAGATCGACTGGAAGGAGCGTCTTTGAAGAGCCGTGAACCAGGACTATTGAGCAAGAGATGGAAGAGGCGAGGCAAGAAGACGGACCTGCGTGACATTCATTCGCGTTCATATTGCTTCTGTCGTTATACTATTCATCCCGACACCTTTCGTTCTTGTCGTCTGTCTACCTATCTGCCTGGCTATCTCATAACTTGCCGGCGTCCATCGGACCCACCGAGGTACAGTGAACGTGTACATGTTGCCGAACGTCAATCGCCTCATCGTGACGCCAGTCAACCATGCTACATGTTGCGTAGTGTTGCGCCCATGTCAATGGACAAGTGTCTTGTACCCCTACCAACCTGCAAGCCCTGCGTCCCATGACTTTCTACCACTTGGGACTAATTCGATCCTTCGCGTTCCAGTGGAAGAGGATCACGTCTTCCTTCAGCTTCACCAGGTCGTTGTTGCACCGCGCCAGCGTGTGCACTGCAGAGCTGTTGCTCTTCATCTCCGTCTGCAGCAGCCGCTGGGTCTCCACGATTTCGCCTTGAGAAATAGCCGGAATTCCGCTCACCGGCACAAACACCACTTCCGTCGTCGCATTCTCGCGACCCTCTTGGTAAAACCCCAAGAGGTTCATATTTACGTCAAATGCTGGGAAGCCGATCGCGTTGCTGGCATTCAGCGTGATCATGCGCGCGACCACGTAAAACACTTGCATTTCGATGGCATCGGCAATTTGATTGCCACTGGCACTGCGATGGTTGTTACTGCTGCTAGCGATGTTCTGGTAAAACATAGGATCATTTGAGTCTTGGTCATCCAACGAGCGCATAAACTCGGTGAGCCCACCCGAGTTATTGCGAAACAAACCAGGAGGACCTTCAATACCAGTCATACCACTCATAGTGCTTGATGTCGCCACAGTCATCCCGGACGAGCTGTTGTTCATCGAATAGTGGTTTGATGAGGCAGAAGGTCCCATACTACTAGACTCCATCATCACAGCCGAAGTCATCATTTGCTGGCTAGAGGATGTACTATCTGCCAGTGGATTCACGCTCAGCATCCCACCATTCTGCGGGCTTACAAGTGACGGTCCACCAGCGTTCCGATTTGACATGTGCCCCATCGGTTTTACTGCTGCTTTCTGAGCAGCAGCCTGTGCACTAGCAATCATTGCTGGAAAGCGCTCAATCCCCTTGAGCACAAAGTCAAGGTGCCCCATCGTATCCGTTGCATATGTAAGCAAAAGATTCGCAATCAGGCACTTGGTATCGTGCTGGGCCGTTTCGTATGTCATGACGTCTTTGTAACGCCAGCATGCCGGACAACGATAAATAGGTCGTTCCAAGTCGGCTGCACCATCACTTTTGCTTTCATATCCCACTGTCTGCCATTCCAGTTGGTGAAGTCCGTTCACGACCCCGCCAGTCCAAGTTAGAACGCTTTCCATGGCACCCGTCAGCGAATTACTCGATCGGGGACTACCACCTACTCGCGGAGTGCCCGGAGACGCGCTGCCTCCAGTGCGCATCCGTTTGCGTCGATCATCGGCTGTAAACGCAGCCGAGCCGAAAGCACCAGCCAGCATCATCTCATGGTCGGCGTTCGAAGCAGGCGATGACGTCGTTGACATCGGTGTTGATGCGCCGTTAATGATGTGATGTGTAATCTGCGCCGGGGCGATCTTGCCGGGTCGACGCTTGTTGCGCTTCGAGCGTACCGAGATGGACGAGCTGAGGTCGTAGGCAACGTCAAAATTCAGCGGTGACTGAGCTGTATCGGCTTCTACTTTGAGACGGAAAGCTTGACCTTGATGGTTCTTGGACACGTCTTCAATCCGCAGTTTCAGCACAGCCATGCCAGTGGCATCTATAGTGCGCTGGCAGTCTGGAGACATCTTGAGAATATCCTGCTTCAGCACCGGGTGTTCACTCTCGTACAAGAGCGTCACACGCAGTGGCACGGGGCGATTCCCCACGCGCTCGTTCTTGGCATTGACCAGATACACAGGCAGCATCATGCACTTGTCTCGGCCCCCTTCGTCTTTGTACCAGAGCTCCGGAAGCTGCTCTTGAATCAGTAACCGGTGCTGAATCACCGTCATCTCGGACGTCACCGCGGGCGTCACGTTCAAATGGGTCCCCGTCTCGTTTGCCGTTGCTGCCGAGATGTGGACCACAAACTTGCGGTTGCCCAGCGCCATGGAGCACTCGCTGATGCTCAGCCGCAGACGGCAGATACCGTCGCGGTCCATCAGTGGCTTTGTACTTGGGTCAATGTGGAGAATGTCCTTCTCCACAGGCAGCATCTTCTCCGCAGCATAGAGCTGGACCTTGAGCGGCAGCGTCAGCCCCGATTTGAGGTGGTCACTTGGGTCCACAAGGTACACTGTGAGGTCAAAAGGTCCGTCTCGATACGGGAACTTGGGCGGACTGGGCTGGATCTTGAGCCGCAGTCGCTCACTGGAAGCGTCGACGTCGCTGTCCATGACGGCGCCACTGGAACTGCTGGGGTGAGTTCGACTGGGGCTGGTCTTGGGGTTCTTGAGGGCGGCCGGGGTCGTGGACGCCCCCGCGCGGACGTACGTCTCGGTCATGAGCATGGACGAAGAGGCGACGGAGCGACTTCAACTTGGACCTCTTCAAGGCGCCGGAATCTTCTTCTTTGGGCGGCTGGCACTTGTTTTCGTCGCGACTTCGGCGCAGCGTTTTTGCTAGTGCGCAGCAGCCACGGAAAGGTGCGCGGGCGACCTGTGGTCGAGCATGGAGCATGTTGGATGAGAGGTGATTGATTCCTGGAGTTCGAGGTGGGGCGGGGTGTGGGGGGAGGAGGGTGGGGACGTATTATTGGTCACAGGGTCGGCGGCCTGGGGTCGGATGGCACGAAACGACCGCAGGGAGTAGTACGGAGGGACGACTCAGGTGGTGGTAGAAACGGGACGGCGAACCTGATGCGGCTCTGAACAAGCAGATCTTGAGGCAGCCGCGTGAAAATTTCGAGGAATCAGGATCGTTCTCCCGCGCGGGTTGCTGCGAATCAGAAGGTAGAAGCGCACGAGGTTCTTTTGTAGAGTAGGAAGCTGGCGTGGGTTGTGGAGATCTCAGCCTCGAATCGAATGTACGAAGCGATCGATTCCGTCCACCGCCTCGGAGGCACGTGATTATTAGTCTGGACATGCTTGGTCTTTGCACGCAGCAGTTGGGGCGAGTCGAGGTCACGGCGATAGTCTAAAGCAGACCTCAACTGGAAGAAGAGGAGTTTCATCCTCGACTATTTACAAATCGATGCGTGCAAGAAGTTGACATGGTCTTTATAGTGCTTGCATGTTGATGCTAGATGTGGCTGGTGCCCGCGAAAGTGGGTATAAGTTGATAAGTATGCAAGACGTAGGGCTCGTGTCGTGTCCCTTGTACGGTAGTTGCTGCTGTTCGTGGTTCGCGTAGCGATGGCCTCTGGTTGACGGACGTAGAGTGATTTTCCAGGTTTTAGAGACGCGCGATGTTAAAGAAGTGGGTTCTGTCCAGAGTATCACCGCAGTTCGCTCGACCCGCGGATGCACTTGACAACGGGGAATCGAATACAAACTAGATGCGATCAAATACGATCCCTGCGGCATTGTTGTCATCGAGAGAACGGTTATGCTCGCGCATAAGTTCTCGTTGGGATGTCAGTGGTACTTGATAACTGGCACAGTATCTCGAGTGTTGTGACACCGCTAGCGCCCCACGATCTCGCCGGTCCAGTGTCGTGCTGATGAACATCAACGCGCTTGCGCGTTTCGGCGTTCCCAGAATTGCGTGCTGTGATCTCTGTGCACCACTTTCATTGTAGCAAGTGTCCTGCAGACCGAGCGGTCGACATGATACAGGCTCGGCTGATTAATCGCCACGCGGCAGCATGTCCAGATACGATGCTCAAGTAACATGTTGGTGTACTTCCGAACTTGTGAAGGACATTGACGAACATTTGCATGGTGCCATCGATCTGTGTGCGTCTTCGCGTTCAATAATGGGCCTTGAATGCTTAACCCATGACCGCTTATCAAATTCAAGCGTTGTCTACGCACTCCACGGGATCAGTGAACTGGGTTGACACCAATATCCAACCCGTGTTGCACCATGCTCCAGCAGCTGTACCCAGTCTTGGATGGGCTTGTAACTCTGGCATTTCGCCGGGAGGATGACAGTGGATTCCGTAAGCACCATGTTGAAGCCAACTTTGATGTCTCGTACGGATCGAGGGCCCGTCCTATCCCGGCAATAACTTTCGCGTCGACCGCTTCAACTGATAGGTGTGTAGAGGTGGAGAGGGGAACAAACCGCGAGTTCAAACCCGGCAAGTTCCCATATCGATGGAAATGTCTGGAGCTCACGAGCAGGGACGGGGTCGCCCATCACCGTACTTTGACAGGCGTGTGTCTCGGGAAGACCTCACTCAGAGTCGAACGTGAAGCACAAATTGCGACCTTGTGCGTTGAATGTGGAGGCTCTGTATCTGCCGTAGCTGTACCCCGTAAGTAGCTTGCCATCGGTTCATGAATCCATGCGTTGTCGGCAGAGTAAAGTCTTTCTAGGAAACAAGTTGAAGCCACCATCCCGGGAATCTCAGCCGACCGTGTTCTCTGAAGATCCGTGACGCTGTAATGACACGCTGTCCTTCCCAGTAACCGCTCGGCCCGTTCCCTTGCTTAGCGTAGTGCGCTGCTGACCTGGCAAACCAGACCTCTGCAGCATCAGAGTCAACTCCGAATAAATAAGGTCAGGCTGTCCAGGCTGTTTCCGTTGCAGGAACGTCGCTTGCTGCCTCATTTTAGAAAGCCAAAAGTCGCCACTCTCGGCACAAGTTGCCACAGAGCAGCTATCGAGCTCTCCTGAGTGCGAAGAACCATTAGTTTACGCAACATCTACAGCGATCGCTTGCAAAAAACCTCTTTAATTGTTGAAAGGCGTCGCACGCTAAAGCGTCATTGCAAGTGTGTACCTTAGAGATAATTGTTCTTAAATACTGGTGATAGGTCGCCGGCGTCTCTAGCTCCGCTACGTAGAAGTCTTTTGTTACGGGTCATTGCTATTGTGCATAATATCGTCATGCAATCACGAGAGATCGTTGACCATTGCACTGACTGGCCAAGGTGCCAATGGCAATCAGATCGCCGATGCCATCGAAATGCAAGTGTTTTACGTGGTCGCGCGCATGATCACGCTGAATGCCAGCAACGCGATCGGCTTCCCAGCATTTGACGTAAATATGAACCTCTTGGGGTTTTACCAAGAGGGTCGCGAGAATGCGACGACGGAAGTGGTGTTTGTGCCGGTGAGTGGAATCCCGGCCATTTCTCAAGGCGAAATCGTGAAGACCCAGCGGCTGCTGCAGACGGAGATGAAGAGCAACAGCTCTGCAGTGTACACGCTGGCGCGGTGCAACAACGATCTGGTGAAGCTGAAGGAAGACGTGATTCTCTTCCACTGGAACGCGAAGGATCGAATTAGTCCCAAGTGGTAGAAAGTCATGGGACGCAGGGCTTGCAGGTTGGTAGGGGTACACGACTCTTCTCCATTGACATGGGCGCAACACTACGCAACATGTAGCATGGTTGACTGGCGTCACGCTGAGGCGATTGACGTTCGGCAACATGTACACGTTCACTGTACCTCGGTGGGTCCGATGGACGCCGGCAAGTCATGAGATAGCCAGGCAGATAGGTAGACAGACGACAAGAACGAAAGGTGTCGGGATGAATAGTATAACGACAGAAGCAATATGAACGCGAATGAATGTCACGCAGGTCCGTCTTCTTGCCTCGCCTCTTCCATCTCTTGCTCAATAGTCCTGGTTCACGGCTCTTCAAAGACGCTCCTTCCAGTCGATCTGGCACTCCATGGCATCCGGCGAAATCCGAGCGTGACAGGCCGTGAGGAGCTGGAGGTGATCAGCGCACGCATCGCCTTTTTGAAGTTGTGCGTCGGTGGGAGGTCTCGACCGTCGATGCTGTGGAGAATGTCGCCGACGCGGACGAGTTTGGACTTCTGCGCTTGTCCTGGCCCGATACTTTTCACGTAGACCACGAGCGGGTTGTGGCTCGCCGCCTCTTCGTAGCAGCCGAAAACGATGCCAAGCTTCCCTTCGCTCCAGAGAATGCTGTACGCCGACCCAAGTGTCGCTTCTGTGCAGTCCATGGATCCATCGTCAGTAGCGGTCGTGTACAAAGAAGTCGGTAGAGCTGTTGGCTGGAAACCAAGCCTGGCGTTTTCTGGTCTACGGAAGCGAAGCACAGCGGGTTTCGATGCAGCCCCGAGGAGCGTTCGCAGTTCTTCTGCTTTCAACCCGAAGGTGCGCCAGTTATTGATCGACACGAACTGGTGTCCAACAGCGTCACTTGGCAGTCCAAGTGTGGACTCCTTGAGAACGTTGTGGACGATCGGGTATCGGCGTCGGGTAGACACGTCACCGACTTTGTTCTTCTTTGCCGACTTTTGGTCACGATCGGGTGGCATGTCTAGTTTCAGTCCAAGTCGGGCCGACGTCCATACCACCTCGTACTCGTACTCGTCATGTATTGATTGTTCGGGACAACGATGCCGTGCTGCTGATACCGTGGCCGGTGCTTGGTGAGCATCCTGACGAAGCTCGATCTCATTTGGACCCGAGATATCTGGAGCAGTTGATGATGACAGAGAGCTGGCACTACTACATTGAAACTCGCTGCTTTCGTCGCTATTGCCATTGGATTGCGGAGGACAGAAGGTAAGTGTCACGGGCTTTGGTAGTGCCAACAGATCCCGGTACAGGTCTTTCAGTGAACAAGCTTCGACTTGAACACCATTGATCGAGTACAGTTGATACCCGTGCTGTAGGCGTTCCATATTAGCTGACAATCCCTTTCCAGTCAACCGGTTGACAATGGGCCCTCCTGAAATGGCGTCTTCCAGCAGCGTCAACCCCAGAGGTCCTCTGTTCCATTCAATAACGACGTCGTCACGTCCTATTCCAAAGTGACGAGAACGATGCCCGGTGCCTCGATTGACTGGTGATAGAGGCGAAGGCACATTCTTTGGCATCAATGTTTTCAAAAAGGCTTTACAGCGAAGGCTCGCCGTTTCTCGTGCAGCCAAAGCAGATACTGCAGCTGACGAAATCGTCTGGTGCAGAGTCGGATACGCTTGCCGATGCTCCACGGAACCTTCGCTCGTAGCTTGGTGATCAAACCTCCCATTGTTTGTCATCCGTTCGAAAGTAAACTTGAGTGGTCGTGGGCACGTTTCCAGATACTCGGACGTCAGGTGAAGTCCAGCTGTGATCGCGTCTTTACCATTGACTGCCACAAGGACGTCACCAAGGCGAGCTTCAAAAACAGGAGAGGCTGCATCACGATCAGAGTCCTGTGAGCTCGATCGGCTGCCGATTCGAGTTACAACGGGAATCTCGTGACGTCCATCTCCTGTGAAAAACACTCCCAACTTCTGGCCACGAAGCACAATATCAAAACGCTTGCGTGTTCCACTCGTTGGTGACCGGAATCGAATGATGGACGGACGCTTGGACATCCGCACCAACACCAAGGCCGCTTCGGTGTCCATAGTATGCACACGCTTACCCGAGACGGTCTCTAGAATGTCACCTGGACGAACACCAGCCTTCCAGACCTTTAGAGCCGAGACAGTATCAACTCTGAGCTCTGCATCTTCGTCAAAGTCGACCGAGTAGGTGCCACTTTCTGACGGCCTGGCTGTTGTTAGTGTGAATCCGGGATCCCCTCCTGTCCAAACAACGAACCGAAGGCTCTTGAAGTCTGCGTGGGTTGAGCTCCATGATTGAGGACTGAGTGCCGACTTGGCCGCCACCATTGACATTGCTGGTGCACAAGAGCTTGAGTGCTGCTCAGTGTCAGCTGTAGTGTGCTTCGATAACAAAGCGCTTCGTAAACGACTGAGCGGCATTTAGGATGAGGAGACAGGCACCCGAACGGACTACTACGACGAGGAAGAGACGAGAGTGGCGGTGGTTCATGCAGCAGAGCGACCTGGCCAAAGCTTTCAATTAGTCCAAGAAGACCCATCGTTCAGTCGGTCAAATTGCTACTGATGGTGAAGCCTTCCATCATCCTTTGATCGAGCCCTCGCTTGTTGTAATCAACGACTGACTGACTGAACAAGCTCTAAGCTTTTGGTCTCACCCGTTGCTTCACCTGACAGATGATGTACTAGTTCCTTTGCATCGGAAATTGCCTGGACTTAGTGTGTTGTAGTTGTTGCTGCTGTGTCATCGACATGGGAGCAGCTAGCGAAGGCACTAAGTAAGGTCATTGGTGTCGGATATTGCACGAAGGTCGGTCACAGAGCAAAATTGTACTACGCTTTGACACGCTGCGGGAGCAGTCTGAATAGATGAGGTCACTTCATTGATGTCGAGTGCTTTCAACTACAATCAGCGCATGCTGGTGTATCTATCCTGAAATTTGAACCAGATACTGTGCAGCAGACTGTTACTTTGCTGGCTGTCAAAGGAGGTCGGATCATTTTTGGCAAGGTTTTGGCACAATTATCGTCGTGAGTCAAACACGTTCATGTACATTTGCCGTGAATACAAAGTCTTGTTTGATATGCGAATAAGAGGCAGGCTCAATGTTATGGGCCTGGGTCCGCCTACGACGGATAGATTGAAGTTAACAATAATGCTACGTGTCTTCTAGTTGTTTTGTCGAGCTCATAACGATGTCGATTGACAGAACGACCCCCATCAGCTGTTGCAAAAAGAAGCTGCAGCGACCTGCAGCTAATCATGTAAACCATTTGTAACGGGGCACCCTGAAGCTTGTACTGGTGACAGTACAAGCTACTTATTCTGATAACAGAATAAGGCGGTGCCTCGTAACTTCACGTACACTCGTACGTGCAGAGGAAGACGGTAAGAAGAAGCGAGTACTTGGTTAGAGTAAAAAGTAGAACTGTATTTATAATAGTTAATGTCTGCAATAAATCACTATTTATCTTCATCTAACTATGTCTAAATACAAATGTGTAAATCAGTTATCTGCTCACCACTCATTGCGTGCGTCTGTCGTGGCGCGTCTTCGTTGGTTGATATAATGGCCTATATCAACCAATTAGGAACTACTTGGAAGTGCTACAGAATATTGTCCTTATGACAATATTCTGAGAATATAACTCTTATAGTTATATTCTATTAACAATTTCTTATAAATTGTTATGTAACGATTCACCCCGTTACATCACCCCCCTTAACCATCAGTCACTTTAGTGACTGATTGACTAAATGGATACTCGTCCCAAATCATTTGGGACGGGGTTTGCACTTGTTGGTCCGCGTCCACTTTCCAACATCTCATCGCATGGTAAACAAGCCCATGCGATGCGCGAGCAAGGCCGCCGAGAGCGCGTCTGCACGTCTCTGTGCGGACGCCGAAGCAGAAACTACAGCAACTGATGTCCCATCGGTTGCTGAATCGACTCAGCCTGTATCACCTGGTGATGCAGGCGCTGGTCATGAAGACACTCGTGTCTTCACAGAGTACGAGCTCGGTGTCTCGTACTCTCCTGATACGGATGACGGATCCGTATCGACGGCAATTGAATCCAAGCCGCCTGCCAAGCGTGGCATGGACGATGCTTTGCGTCGCAGCATCTTTGGTTCATCTGATGAGTCAGATGAACCATCGCCGAAGCGAAGGCGCTCGAGGTCGCGAGACTCGGGCGCTCACAGTTGTGTCGGTTCTCCAATGGACACCACTTCACAGCGAGGTGCCAGTACTTCTGTCGGCACGTCGCAGGAAGAGCGGGACCGCAATGTGTTGCGTCTCGCTCCAGAAAAGAAGGCATGGATGCCTCCTAAATCTGTCATGGATCACTTGTCGGCGACGACGAGTGATCGTTATCGAACACGATTGTTCGATTCGTCGAGGATTCATCACCTTGACCCCAGCGCGAAAGACTATCGCGCTGAACATGAGTTCTTCATCGATGCTTTCTTCAGACATCGATGGTACAGTGGGAATCACAAACGTGATGGTCCCTCACTACTTCAGGCGTGGAACGCCTACATCCATAATCTCGAGGATGTAGGTCGTGACGCTTGGAACGACAAACTTATCAAAGCTCGTGATAAGTTTGAAAAGCGAACCCCGACAGGTGCACGCTATAAGCTGCATCGTCTGTCAAGGGAGAAAGGATTACCCTGCCTCTCTTGGGGAGACTCGTGCCCATGTTGTGTGAACAACTCTGCACGAGCACCTAAGGAGGCTTACCTCCTTACCAGCCCGTGGTGGCGCGTACGTGTCTCTACTGAGATGTACGAAGGGATTGACAACCTGAAATCCCTTTACGACCGTGCCGGGAAGACTTTCTCCGGCGGTCCTTCTGCGGCACAGGATGTGTCGCGTCGTACTGCTCGACCAGACCCAGTACGTCGATCATTAGTTGGGAGCGGGGCTCCCAAGAATCCCAGGACGGGGGATAGCCGCGCCACCGGACGAGATAACTCGTCCGACGTCCGTTCACGTCGCGGTGGTTCAACAGCTGCTCAACTAGATAGCGCTGGCCACCGCGAGAGTCCTCTAATGGAGGTGGAGGAGGAGGAAAGACGCTCTCCACACGATCATGTGGATCGGTGTGTTCCCGAGAGCTTCTTTTGATCGCGTAACGCAAGGGTTACGCGACGATCTCGAGCATGAGCGGAATAGGCGTCTCCAGATGGTGGACACTGCCTCGAAGCATCGAGCTGAGTTTGCCTTTGCTCAGCTTGAGAACGAGAGATCTCTGACATCTCTTCGTGACGAGCTAAGGGTAGCTCGTGGGATTGTTGATCGGTCTCGGGCTGAGATAACTGCTCTTCAGACCCTTGTTGATGCCCACCATCGGGAGCACAAGGCTCTCTGCGAGATGCTTGAGCGCAAGGGCGTTCTTCATCGGAAGAAGCAGCGTACTGATGGTACGGCTTAAGCCGACCAACGTAAAACGTGGGATGCGTTCGCATCTTACGTGGTAACTCGATCGTGTATGCATTGCCTAGGCGGTGCAATACACGAAATGGGCCAATGTACTTGGGTAGTAGTTTACTGCTACCCAAGTTAGTCACTACATGTTTTGGTAGATTAACCGTAGACAGTAGGACTAAGTCACCTTTATTAAATAAAAGAGTGTTTGCCCTTCCATTCTTGTCAGCGTTTTGCTTTTGCTTATCCACCGCTTCGGCGATGGAGTCTTGCACAAAACGGACTACCGTTTCACGAGCCAGTATGAACTCATCTGATGACTCGTTAGCTTCAGTGTGCTGTGAGCGCACTGCAGCGACAACAACCTTTTCTTCAGTGAGGGCTTCCGCACTCTCACTGGGATCATTGTCTTCAGTGAGGGCTTCCGCACTCTCACTGGCATCATCTTCTTCGATATTGATGTTATCGATATCGGCATCAAACGCAATGACTTCTTCGTCAGAGCGTGATGAGCGTGAACCAAATCGGTTTTTGCTCGCGCGAGTCCCTCCCCCCTTAAACCAGAGTTACACTCTAGTAAGGTGGGTACACGCGGATGGCGCAAGCCATTCACGTAAAACGGTGTATGTGTCGTGGACGCATGCACCGAGTTGTTGATGGCAAACTCTACCATTGGCAAAAACTCACTCCAACTCTTAAAGGAGTGTACGTATCCTCGAAGTATCTCTTCAAGGACACGATTGGCACGTTCCGTCTGACCATCTGACTCTGGATGATCAGATGTTGACATCTTCAAGCGCGTTCCGAGTGATTTGAACACGGAACGCCAGAAATCAGCAGTGAATCGTGGATCTCTGTCTGATACGAGTTCACGGGGCAACCCATGAAGTCGGAAGATGGTGTCAATAAAGACACAAGCACAGCCACTTGCCGTGATTGTCTCTGGTACAGCCACAAGGTGTACCATTTTGCTGAATCTGTCAACAAATACGAGAATACCCGTATTCCCGCGTGCGTCTTTGGGTAACCCGAAGACGAAATCCATTGAGATGGATTCCCAGCACTCAGCCGGAACCGGTAGAGGCTGTAAAGGTGCACGCAGTGAAGGACTTGACTTCACTCGTTGGCAGACTTCGCATGCGCGAACATACTTTCGCACAAACTGATACTGGCGGGGCCAGTAAAAGTCTCGACTTACCGTGAGATATGTTTTCTCTCGGCCACGATGTCCTTCTATAGGAGCATCGTGATACTCGAACATGATCCGCAAACGCAGATCAGTATCATCTGAAATGACAACACGTGGTGTGTCACCAGAAACGGCTGTATAGTACAGTAAACCGTTACGAGTAGTGTATCGATCTGATGCAGATCGATACGCAGACGACAATCGTTTCAACGATTCTCGAGATGGTTGGGAGAGATGTGACAACAACTTCACTATCTCACCATCTTGGGCGTATGCCCGCCTCACATCATCATACAACGTTGTAGATGGAATTGAGGACGTCATAACCGCAACAGTGACTGTCTCACTGTTGGGTTTCGCGACTGTTTCAAAGTCGGGACGACGTGAGAGTGCATCAGCGACGACATTAAGTCGTCCTGGTTTGTACTCGACCGTAAAGTTGTATTCTGCAAAGAATGACAACCACCGCGCCATTCGTTGTGAAAGGTGCGGGCTGTTCACTGCCGTGCGTAAGGACGCATGGTCAGTGTAAACAACGAAGGGTCTATCTCCTAATAGATAGACTCTGAACTTCGCGAGTGCATACTTCATGGCAAGGAGTTCCTTGTCATGCACTGGATAGTTCCGCTCAGCTGGTTGCAGCTGACGCGACTGATAGCAGACGACGCGTTCAACGCCTTCAAGGTCGTACTGCATTAATGCACAGCCGATTGCGAAATCGCTGGCATCACAGACCACATGAAATGGCCTGTCCTGATCGGCTATTGCTAGGACTGGGGATTGTATCAAGCTCTGCTTGATACCCTCAAAGGAGCGTTGACATTCAGCGTTCCATAACCACCTCTCGTTCTTTTTCAACAAACGAGAGAGGTGTACAGTCATCTCGGCGTAATTGCGTGAATACTTATGCAAATACGCCGCTAGCCCAAGGAATTTTCGAAGACCTTTGACATCGACCGGCACAGGCCAGTCGGTGATCGCCTTGATCTTTTCGGGATCAGGACGTACACCGTTCTTACCAACGATGCACCCAAGAAGTGGTATTTCGCTTGCTGCAAATATACACTTCTTGAGGTTAGCATACAATTGATGCTTTCGCATGATTGTAAGAACTTGTCGGACGTGGTACCTGTGAACCTCAACGTCCGACTTTCCATCCATAGCTCGACTATGGATGAATACGTCATCGAAATAACTCGGCGCGAACTCTCGTACTGGTCTCAACAGATGTGATACACATCTGTTGAACGTGGCAGGGGCATTACTGAGCCCTTGTGGCATTACTAGCCATTCCCAGAGCATGCCGCTAGGCGTGCTAACTGCGGTATAGGGTATATCCCGTTCCCGCATTAGGATTTGATAGAAGCCATCCATCAAATCCATGGACGAAAAGATGGTACTCTTTGACATACCATCAATGATTACGTCCTTCCTCGGTATCGGCGTCTGAGCCGGTACCGTTGCAGCGTTCAATTTGTTAAACGCGTGCACTATCCGCCACCCTCCTGTTGCTTTTCGCACACAGAAGGTCGGAGAGCTATGTGGGGAAGTTGATTCCCTCACATGGCCCGCTGCTAAACGATCGGCAAAGAACTTGTCGATCGCAAGTACTTGTTCACGAGGCAGTGGCCACTGCTTCATGACACAGTACTTCGAGCCTGGTTTAAGCTCGACTTCGTGTCGAATACCTTTATCCTTCGGTAATTCGCACGGAACAGTTTCAGGGAATACATCCTTGAATTCAACCAAATCTTCATAGAGAGGATTTTCCTTGAGCGATTCCCATGATTGGGACTCATATCGCTCAATTCGTGTCTTTTCATCTAGGACACTCTCGTCCATAGATGAACTACTGAGAACTCTCTCGTTCTCAGTAAACACTGTTGCTGACCTTATGTCGGTTACATACTCGTCGTCAGCGACGAGTATGCAGATCTGCTTGACTTTGCCACTACGCAGATCACGCAAGAACCTTTTATGTTCGAGCGTTGGCAACTGAGTGATCTCCGAAGTTAACTTCGGAGGCGCAATCAGATCAAGTGTATAAGCGCCTACACATGATCCGTTATTGACTATGACATTCAATGTCTCTGTCATTTCCTGGGGACTTATTCCCTCAGGCTTCGAAGGACTTATTCCTTCGTCTTCCCGGGGACTTGTTCCCGCGGGTTTCGGGGAACTTATTTCCGCCGTATTTGTAATCTTGGGACTTATTCCCTTTACTTCCTCTAGCTGGGGTTGCGCAACCACAGCGAGATCCTCTACGAAAGACTCTCCAGTCGATCTAGGATTATCGTTTCGCTTAACCTGAGCGATCGATTGTTTCTCTTCTAGATGTTCCCCTCTAGGGATACATCTTTGTCCCAGTCCACCCGACTTATTCGAGTGGTGGACCTTCGGCGCAGCCTGTGTTTCCTCACAGCCGCCGGAACTTTGCTCCGAAGTGTAACCGTTTGGTACACTAAGGTTTTGTGCAGTCGTACTAACGACCGTACCACAAGTGAGGCCATCGCACTCACTCGTAGTACATCCACACGCTTGTGGACGCTCCAAAACGTTCATCAGATGGCCATCTGATGAACAAGCGGCAGGCATCGTTACTGTCCGATGTTGCCAGTTTACCCGTGGTTCGTACCTTCTGAGCCACGGTATTCCAAGGATGACATCAAATTTGTCATCCAAATCCAATACGATAAAGTCATCGTCGTATTGGGTATCTTCTAGCGTATAGTGGATCTTCACTATACGCTTCATGACGGTTACGGATGCGCCTGTCGCAAGACGTACCGTCATCCTCGTAGGAGGTGTGTCACATTCACTGAATTTAAAGTGACCATCTTCTAGCGATTGGCGTCGCACAAAATTGTTGGACGCCCCACAATCGACTAGAGCTCGAAGGGACAACTTATTCGTCACTTCGAGTTTCAAGGTAATGAGTGAGATCTCATTACCTAGAGCAGCAACGCACAATGTCTGTGTGTTGGGAGCAACCTTCATCAAGAGGCCTACAAATTCTCTTGACGTTGCTGGATCAGTAGGGTGCTCCGCACCTACTGATCCTGTCCGTTTTTTGACGGTCCATCCCGTTGTTGCGTCTTTGCACCAACTGCGGACCCTCGTCCCTGCCCCTTTCTCATGGGTGGACGGTCACTACGCCCAGTGTCGCGAGACACTGGACGAGGGGCACTACACTCGTAAGCGTAGTGTCCTGTCTTTTGACATCTGTTGCATCTCTGCAACTTCTTGTAGCCTGTAGAGCGAGCCTTCTCGCTCTCTACATAACAGAGTTCCATCGGCTCTGGACCTCCGTTGTCATATCGTCTCGGTTGACGATATGATGTCGAGCTGGCGCGAGCCTGTCTCAGACTGAAGTCTTCCTGCTCCGCAATTGAAATGGCTTGTTTTAGTGAATCTAGTTCAAGCCGGAACAGGTGAGTCTTGACGGGACCATCCGCAAGACCCTGCATGAACACCGAAACCAACGTGTGTTCATCCACCGGGGGAGTAACTTATACAACTCGTGAGATGTCGTATATGTTGAGCGTAAGCGTGCACATCACGCTTACCCTGCTTGAGCTTCAAGAGTTCGGTTCGAGCTCTGAACTCAGCTCTAGGCGGTTCAAACGTTTGTCTGAGCCGCGACTTGAAGACTTCCAACGACCCAAACGCATATGGGTCGTGCAGCTTGAGCCCCAGTGCCCAAGTCTTGGCACGTCCTGCCAGATTTGACTGGGCAAATGCAACTTGCATATCCCCGTCGTCGATGCGACGCGCCCTTATGGCGTCATCCAATTCGACGAACCATCTCAAGAGGGAGTCTTCTTCGACCCCCTATACTTTGAGATGTCAATCTTCAAAGTCTCGGGCCGACGCGAGTGCATCGACCCGCCAGCAGCAGCCTGCTGCTGTCTCAACAGTTCAAACTGTTGAGCACCTTGTTCTCTCAACAACTCTGCTTGTTGAGAACCTTGTTGGTGAAGCAAGGCTACTTTCTCGCGTTCTGCGTCAAGTTCATTTTGAATGAACTTGGCGATAGTAGCATGTTGGGCATCTCTATTGAGAGCCTCTAGCATGACGCTAACAGCATGGATGCCCATGGTCGAACCCATTCGTTCAACCGCATCCCATTCGACATCGCTCAAATGGGAGTAGCCGTCACGCGTAGCGTGAAAGCTTTGGTCATCTTCATCATCCAACATATTCATGTTGGATGTGAACGCGGTCCTTGGACGGACTACGAAGTGCTACCAGGTGTAACGGGGCACCCTGAAGCTTGTACTGGTGACAGTACAAGCTACTTATTCTGATAACAGAATAAGGCGGTGCCTCGTAACTTCACGTACACTCGTACGTGCAGAGGAAGACGGTAAGAAGAAGCGAGTACTTGGTTAGAGTAAAAAGTAGAACTGTATTTATCATAGTTAATATCTGTTTATAAACCACTATTTATCCTCATCTAACTATGTCTAAATACAAATGTGTAAATCAGTTATCTGCTCACCACTCATTGCGTGCGTCTGTCGTGGCGCGTCTTCGTTGGTTGATATAATGGCCTATATCAACCAATTAGGAACTACTTGGAAGTGCTACAGAATATTGTCCTTATGACAATATTCTGAGAATATAACTCTTATAGTTATATTCTATTAACAATTTCTTATAAATTGTTATGTAACGATTCACCCCGTTACACCATTGGCTTCTACATATTTAAGGCACAGCTTGCCTGATACTACCCTTTTGTAAGCGGCACCGTCTCCACTTATTGTACCGGTTCTCGCCACTTCGAATATGTTCGTCTGGCAGGCCACCCGCGCTTCTAATCATATGCAGGAACACAGTCATACACAAGCCCTTTAGAGCATCTTCACCAGGTCACTTCATCTGGTGCTACGTCTCTATTTTGAAGTGAATTTAAAGTGTTTGCATCCCCACCGCACCACTTCAAATCTATTCGACTTTGGAGAACACTATAGCTTCGGCCCTTCACTCCAAATTTGAAGTTACTTCAAACCTGTAAAGGGGTTACACATCGTAGGGTACTCGGTACCCTGTGTTTTGGACACACAGGATGGCATCCCACTGAAAGAGATGCAGAATACCTTATTATTTATAAGGGCTGACGGGTGTCAGCCACAATATAGGAAAGATCTGACAGATGTAAAATGGGGACATGAGTGCCTGGATTAGGTAATACTAGGATCAAGACGCTACATTTTGTTCAACGTAGATAAAGTTCAGCTTCCCTTTCGATCTTGTCTAAATACGTGCCTTGTGAGGTGTCTCTGATTGTAGATCGTTAAGAGTTAGCAACACCGACCCAGGGTAGCTACTTTTGAGCACCAAGTGCTGTAGATTCACTGAATCGTTTGGTCCCCTGGAACAGCGACCTTTAGCTATATGCTTGTTGACTCATAGAGTCTAGTTTCTTGGAACTATTATTACTCATTGTGCTCCTAATTATTCCTCTGACTTAACGAGCTGTGAAGCTCTGTTACACAACCAGTCTAAACATCTACATCAATTAAGTTGCCACCAAAACTGAACTTACTTTCTACTCGCACTTCCCTTATAAAATTGGACTCCTCAACCTTTGACAATTATGAGTCCCTTTTTAAAACTCACGATAATGCGTTTGCTATGAGCGGCTAGCGTGCAAGAATTAAAGCAGCATTGTCAATTTTGAAGTGGTGCACCCCGGTGTAAATTTTTTAAATATGGGTACACCGATGACCGTAACTAGTGCGGACCAAACAATTAATCAACCACATATTCATTGGTCGCTCACAAGTATTAGTGCGGACCACACTATATATGGAACCACACTAAATTACGGACTCGAGGATTTAGTATGGACTGCACTAATTTCGAATGCGGAGAGTTAGTGCAAATTCATAATCACCAAAACAGCTCTTCATGTAATAATGTAATTGGCTACATGATTTAAAGCCCATATGGAACGGAAGTGCCATCGTAGTAAATGCAAAATTTGCCAATAATCTGTTGCAGTTCCAACGTCAATTGCATAAAATTGCTGCGAGTGGGGTCAAGCAGCGTCTCCTTGATAACTGCTGAAAGCGTAAGACTTGAATCATGCATCCTTCGCAAACTCTATCTCTTCCCTGATCGCATTTAAAGCATTAGCTTCATCAATTCCGTACAATCGATAATCTAGAAGCGCAACTCTGTTGTGATTGTGCGTGTGTGGCGCACCTTTTTAGTATACCATATGGTACGGTAGGGAAATCAAATACTAAGATGCAAAAAAAGGAGCCCTTAGATGAGTAACTTTCTGGTCCTCTAAAACTCCTTCTGTGTTCATATTTTTGATTCCGATAAAATTATTATCAAACACAAAATAGAGAGGTCTGTCGTAATCGTATTGTGGTAAGCCCACTTCTGTTTCGGGGTTGCACAGGTGCGAGAACATGTTGAAATTGTGGAGAAGACTCTCTAACGCTATAGACACCTCCACCTTGGCCTCTAAATTCGGTCGGCTTTCGATGTGCCTCAGTACCTGTCAAATGCAATTTTCGATGGTACATCCTACGGATAGCTGGAGACAGACGAATGTAACTAGATGACTAGACTGAACTCCCTTTGAGCTTTCCAAAGGGTGAGTTTATTCGACCAATAATACTTCAGGGTACGCAAAGAATCACCGACTGTACAAATTGTACCGTTGATCTTCTAAATCAGCTCATTATCCCCTGACGAACCACCTGGCGTCCTATCTGAGACCCCTCATAATTTTTCTGTCTTCAAAATTTTCACACGCAAAATTGTAAAAGGCCTGAGAATATCGTAAAGTGACCGTGGACAAAAAAAGACATTTCTATGCTACATCTGACTGAGAAACCCCTTGCAGAATTACTAAAGTTTATTGCACAGGATTTCTATCAGCATGATGCTGAACCACCCCACACCAAAGATTGCATGGAAAATGTATTTTATCGAGTCAGCTTCTTTTAAGTTGAGTTTTTCAAGTTTGCACGGCCAGATGCAATCGCATTTCGTGCTCGTTTAGCGATGAAATGCGCCATCGCATAGCCGTGAAGTATTTCCTATTATAATTTGTGGTACAATACCGTCTGGACACGGCCAATGGCTCTTATGGAATTACGGACATTAAATTTGTCTTACCACACTGTCAGCCCATTTCCTTACGACCAGCAAGGGGTCTTAAAATGAGACAAGGCAGATAGAGACGACGTATACCCATGAGGTACATTCATTTTATCTTCTACGCCGATGCCGTCCCCTCCAAATACATTTCAGCCCACAATGCACTTCCGCGTGACTTGCTTTGATTAGTGTTAAACGAAATCTGTTCAAGTGACATGCTCACGATTTAGTCCTCCCTCAAAGACGCTTAAAATATCCATTTTTCCACGCCTCAACTAACTGGTCTACCTTCTGTGCAAGATAACTTGTAGCGTAATTTATAAATTATAATTTCAAATCCCAAGCTATCGACACCATTCCCCCCCCGGCCGCTCCCGGAGTTTACATAATACCCGAATTGACTCATGCCGACGGCATTCTGCTAAAGCTTCAATAATCCACACAGACTTTGTGTGAAGATTTTCACTCCTTCTCCATCTATACTAAAATATTAAAGTCCACCACCATTTCAAATTTTTGAAGGTGCGTTTATACATCGTTTTCTGCTACGCGTAGATGTATACTGGTCGCTACTCATACAACCATATCAAGTCGATGTCGCAAATTTTTGATGTGGAAATCCCAGTAAACGTCGATTAGTCCCTGTATTTACCGAAGCCCTAAGTTACGTGTATCACCAGAGGGCAATGATAGTACAATATATAACAAATTAAGACAGTTCCGTAATTTAAATATGCCTTGGTTTTGTTGTTGCTTGTACTTTGATCCTCGATCATCTCACTATAAGTGCTATTATTTCGAGGACGCATGAAGTTAAAGACACACTTTTAAAAAGCCACGGTGGAGTTACCGACTGACAAAAAAATGGTCCTTTTACCATTTAACACAAGAATTTTGCATTTGATATATTGAGCTATTTCCACAGACAGTATTTCTTTAACCAGAACACACAGCAAAAGCGCTGGAAGGTATCCCCACCAAATCCCCGTAGTGATCTTCAGTGGTTCAGAAAAAAACCTTCAGCAAAAACTAGGGACCTTGGCGCATGTTAATTTCTCGTCATCTAAATAAAAGGACGAGTGAAGCCCATTACTTTCAGCACAGAAAACCGATACTCCCGTGCCCCCGTATCATATTCTTTTATCAATTCAGCAGAAAAGTGAATGCTTTTTATGCAGCGTCAATTTGAATTCTGTTTACACAGACGGCCAGGTGGACAACATCATCACGACAGCTTACGCCATCTGTCATTCATGCGTGAATACTGAATAGTTGAGTCTTATCTTTAACAGGGCACCCTTTGTTTAGGTTGCCACAAGACTTTACGTACACTAGTACGTACAAAGGAAGCTAATCTACTTAAACGACTCGGTCAAGTAAAGGTAAAAAGAGAACTGCATTTGATATAGTTAAGCTATCAATATAACTTCAGTCTTTATCTAACTATTTTTTATCTATGTTGTCGTATGAAGACAACCTGCTCACCACTCATTACGCGCGTCTAGCAGCTACGGGAGGTAACCTTGGTTGATATTTCTTTATCAACCAATCTTTGAGCAGCGCATGAATATTTTCCTACGAAGGGGGTAATATTCCTTTAATGTTACCAGTCTCGGATAATGTTGGCAGGGAATTGTCACGCTAGGCAATCTCCCTAATGACACCGTTTGTTGTCAATATCATGCAACGGGCTACCCGTTACATCATCCCCCCTAAACCATCAATCACCCGTTATTTGAACTTATCTGATTGGGACAGAGTTCCACCGTTGGATCACTCTGGAAGAGTGAGCACTTGTTGGTCAAATCCCATTCATTTTCCAATCCAACGCATGGTTTCGAAAATTAAACGAGTTGCTACTGCAGCAGCAAGAAGGGCGGCTGCACGCATGCGTGCAGCCGCGAAAAGTGCCTCTCACACCTCAGCAGCAGGTAATTCGTCGCCTGTTGTTGTGAATCGTCCACATGGTGAGTCACCATGTGCTACAGGTACATACGCTGCGTCTTCAGCGGGTACCACGAGTCGTAACCAAGATGAGTCATAAATAGAGCTCATCTATTATGGCGAGTCGGATGAAGTA